AAATACTGAAATGAACAAAGGGCAATAACTTTTGAAAAAATTGTTGAATCGAAATTATCTCAAGGGAAACACAACTAAATATCATGATTATGATGTATACCAAGTTTCAAAGAGATAGGTCGAAAAATGTAGGAGGAGATCTCCGGACAAAATTCAAATACTGAAATTAACAAAGGGCAATAACTTTTGAAAAACTTGTCAAATCAAAATTCTTTTAAGGGAGACACAACTTCATATCATGATTATAATGTATACCAAGTTTCAAATTGATCGGTTGAAAAATGTAGAAGGAGATTGCCGGACAAACAAAGTTTACGCCGGACGGACGGATGGACAACGCTATACCATAATACTACCGTCAAAAATCAGTCCTGCCGCTGTGTTGTAGCCCTAGAACGACTTCCAGCATGACGTCTGGAAGGGTTTCTTTAAGACTGGAAACGATTCAACATTCTTGCCACCACACTTTGAGACACCCCAAGGTCTCCTGCAACCTGAGGTTGAAAAATGCTAGCTTGCAGCATTCCGATGCCCCTATTCACTTCACCGTCATTTAACCATTCGTCAAAGAATATTCATAAAATTGATTTCCTTTACAATTTGAACAACACCTTACTTAGCCTAGATTAGCTTTTGAAAGGGGTGTTCACATGGAAAAGCATGCATGCGCTTTATGGTTGACTGAACACACCCACACAGAATGATTTGGAAGGCTAACATATGCCCAAAACAGTACGGAAGGAAAGTATAATATCCTTTCTATTATTTTGATTTTTTTTTCAATATATAGGTGATCCTTAGCAAAATGTGAGTAGTCTAGTTATAATTAAGATTCTAGACTTATGTGTAAAAACTGCTATGTCAAAATTAGACTGAAATGTAGAGTTGCTATGTTTATAGATTCTAGACTTGCTATATCTTTGCAAACCATGCTATGTTAGGTACTAGACTAACATGTATGGTTATTTTTATAGATACTTGACTTAATGTAGGTTATTGCTTTAATGGAAACTACTGGGCTCAACACTAGGTATAGTGCTACTGTCAGGGACAAACAAATGTGGTTGTTAGACTGACCTAGATTCAATACACTAGAAGGTTGCCCTGGAAGTTCAACCTTCTTGCTGTCTCTATGACATACCACAATGTGTACAATCCTGATCACGAAACTGATACAGTTTTTTTGTTTACACACATACAACAGCAACATTCAAGCTTTAAATAGATGCCTCTTGGTTATTCAGAAAAAGTTGTTAAAAGATTTAATTTATTTGACCCCTGTGACCTTGAAAATTGATGAAGGTCATTTTTGGGAACAAACTCGCCCTTCATCCAAGCATGCTTCTGGCCAAATATCATCATCCTAGGCCTTTTGGTTAATGAAAGGAAGTTGTTTAAAATAAAAAGTTGACGCTGGACGGACGTTTATCAACCAATCAAATTGTATTTCATAATTTCTTTCTATTTTGTAAATATGAAATTGTTGCGAGTTCAAGAGAGAGCACTGTGAGGGAGGGAGTCGAGACACGGACAGGAGAGAGTGGAGGTGCTGGTCTGATACACTGGACCAATGGACTTTCCCAACTAGGCCAGCACCAAGATATGAAAGTACAGACTTGTTGTAACATACTGACTTTTGTGTAAATTAATAAACCTAGCATAAGAAGAGAATCTGGACTGGACTCATTCCTTTGAACCTTAATTAACTACGGTACAACCACAAAGGGTGCTCGTCAGGATGTGGCTTATTCTACCATAGCTAATTCCCCAAACCAAGAACTAGTACTGTATAGCCACATCCTGATTGACCACCCGACCATACCTGCCAAGTGACCCGATTTCGTCAGGTTATACCCGGGATTTTAGCCCTTCACTTGCCGGGTTACGATTTTGACCCTGATTTCATCAATTTCGCCTGTTTTTACTCAGATTTTTTTTTGTATATTAAAAGTTACCCAAGTCACGTGGAATTCTCTAGACTTTTCCATCCTTTTTCATAAGAAAGACAATCTATTTCCTGTTTACGTTTCTCACCGACAGGTAAGTTGTGAGTTGTTTATATACGTACTAGAACTGTTTTTACAAAGGTTTATATAAAGACCATTGTTACTGAACTTACCGACAAGTAATTAGTCAGGTATTTTAAAGAATAATTGAGTTGTTTTTACAATTGTATTTATGTAGTATAGATCGTATTTTGGAGGTTACGTTATGTCTTCTTGCATTGAAGGAACAAGTCGTTATCGAGACTTGCAGAATCCACTACACGAAATGTTAAAAGAAAAGATAATTGTGCACATATCAAATGTCGTAGGAAAATGAGTTATAGTGTATAAGACTGGCAGTCGTGGACCAAATGCTGCGTCCGACACTCTTTGTAAATCGCATAGTTCAGTTGGATCTGGTGCTACAAACGACGTTACTAAGACATTCAAAAACATGCACAGGCATTTGATGATTTGTTTCTGTCAATCAAAATGATCTTGACAATAAGAATTCAAACCCTACTTGTATAAAACTGATATTTTATATGAGTAGTGTGTAACTTCTTATGGCCAGGACCATTTTTACTGACAGAAACAAAATGATATTTTATATGAGTAGAATGTGACATCTGATTGTCAGGACCATTTTAATTGACATAAAAACATGCCTGTGAAAACACAGTATCATATATATTAATATGAATTAAATTTAAACGTTGTGTTGTTGACGCATATTTCAATTTTTCAGCTTTGAATTTGGTATTGTGGATGAGGATCAGCTAGATCTGCTGGAAGAACAGTTCAATGAACTAGAACACTGACAGTAAGGGCCCCGTCTTGTGGCAACATATTCAAAAAGAATCGCAAGGAAGCAAAATATACATTTTACATGTACTATGATGTGAGTCTTGTTTCCTTCCACCTCCATATTTGCTGGGCTAACAGAAATGTAAATTCCGGTGCAATACTCATTTGTTAGCTTTGATTTGTTTTATTTGACCTTATATACCTCCTCCCTCAAGAGCCAGGGTCAAAGTCAAAGATCCACTTTGTCTTTGACCTTTGGACCCAAATGACCTTGACCATTAACCCAGTGACCCTGATCTTTGGTCAGTTGACTTATTCTTTAATTCCGACAAACTTTGCTTCATAATATCATAACAAAATGTTCATCAGTGAAAAATACAAAACTTGACCTTGACCCTTTAGACCCCGTAACCTGGACTTAATGTCAGTTGAGTGTGTTAAGTTCTGAACAAGTTTGCTACATAATAACATAAAATGAACTTGACCTTAAGTCAGTTGACTCCTTTTTAAATTCGGACCAACTTTGCTTCATAATGTCATAACAAAATGTTCATCAGTGAAAAGATAAAAAAAATACCTTGACCATTGACCCAGTGACCTTGCCCTTTGGTCAAATGACTCCTTGTTTAATTCCCACAAACATTGCTTCAAAGTGTCATAATGAAATGTTCACCAGCAAAATAATACTAAATTTTACCTTGACCTTTGACCAAGTGACCTTGACCTTAGGTCAGTTGACTCCTTGTTTAATTCTGAGCAACATTGCTTCAAAGTGTCGTACCAAAATGTTCACAAGAGAAAAGATGCAAAATTTGACCTTGACCTTTGAACCTAATGACCTTGAACCTTGAAAAAATACCAAAGTTATCAGCCAGGAACAAAATTTGTGGAGGGACAGACGGACAGACAGACAGACAGACAGACAGAGTAATTACTATAGGGCACCCGTATCTCCGATACGGGGCCCTTATATAGAATGTACCTTTTACATCATTTAAATATTTAAGTACTAAATTAATATCTACTTTTCTTATATTTGTTGCGAAAAAAGGACGTCGCGCGCTATGACCATCTTCTTTATTTTCAAAAGAGGGTCATCACCCTCTTTCAGTATATCCTGGGTTGGCAGGTATGCCCCCAGCCCCCAAGGTGTGGCTTGACACATGAGTAAAGATGTACTACCTAAGATGCATCTATTGTAAAAGTTTGGTTGGTCTAGCACTGATAGTTTCAGTGAAACTTACTTAAATGCAAAAACTTAATGTTGACGCTGACCTTGATCTTGCGACATTAATGAAATTCCTGTCATGTGTGTTCAATAAATAGTAACAATTTGAGAAAACCAGAGATGCTGTATTTATATAGACATTAATTATATATAAGTTGTCACTGGTGTCCATGGGAGTATTACTGGTATAACAGCGTGGCAGGTGATGATTAGAGGAGAGTCAACCAAACTTCATTGGTGGGGCTTAATTAAGAGTAAACCAAATATGGCCCTGAGTCTATTAATTCAAAAAGAAACAGATTAATAGTCAAACTAGTCTACACAATTATTAAATTGATGAGCATTTGTGCATATGCAGAGAGCCCAAAATAAAGTGTGATTAATTTTATGATTGAATACTTGAGTATAACAATTCAAAGAATTTGTTTTTGCTGTCAAATTCTAATTATATATTTATGTGTGTTACATAAATATCTATATTAAACAAGAGGAAGAGAGAAATAACATACACAATAACACATATAGCGAGACTGGAGATACCAGATGTGGGAATAAGGGAGGAGGTAATTAATGTACTTGATCAGAGAAGGGAGGAGGAGGGATGAAAAAGTTAAAAATTAAATAAAAATCACCCCATCATAGTTTTTTAGACTTAAGGCAACCAGCGACCCACAAAATCAGCCAGTGAAAGCTTACAGAGCATTGAACGAACCCACACAAAATTATCAGCGTCAGCTCACGTGACCATTGGCCTCTTGTCATTGTCAGTATGAGTAGTTGCAGACAAGACTTGAATTACAAAGGTTACATTTATGTGGCCATAACTTGTACTGCTAATACAGTTCACAATGTCTTGTGTCGATAAGTGTATTCATTTTCAAGCAATTTCGATTTTTATTTGGACAATTAAATTCCTAAGACAACTTTTCTGACAGCAAAAATAAGTTTGGGTTGCATTGACCGCTTTTTAAAATACTCACCCTGAGTTTGGCTTGCTCCACATATCTTTGTTATTGGGTACTTCTTTTTCAAATGTAGCCAGTATCTATTGAAAAGGAATATCTTAACTTTGAGCAGAATGATGATGAACAATCTAATATGAACTATTTTTTATAATTCAGTCTCATGTAAACTATCAATAAATAAGTATGTCTGTTTGGTTTCATTTGCCTTTCAATTGAAGGATGCCAGTTTTATGATATAACAAGAGGTCCAAGGGCGTTAGCGGTCACCTGAGTTATATTATAGTTACTAGTAGCTTAATTGCATTGTTGAGATGTACAAAATGTAGAAAACAACATGTAAACAAAGTGAAATACAATACTTGTCATGTCACCAAAGGATAAGAATTATTTTGCTATTGAGAATTATACCCTCTCCCCAAGGGAGAGCAGATGACCCGGGGAATGATGAAATTTACAATTTAGGTAATGGTAATTTAGGTAAGGAGCTTTCTATCCATGAACAATAAAACATCTGAGTGACTGATGAAGAAGGTTTTTTAACTTTTAACCATAATCCCCATTTGGGCCCTAACACTCCAGCCCCTGGGGATGGGCAGGATCTTATTTTCTCATACCATCTAATTGCCATCTGGCAGCATAATCATTCCAACCAAGTTTGAATAATTTCCAGCTGAAAATGTACAAAATATACCCCAACGTGTTATTTCCCTATATAAACTAAAGTCAACTTCTTTACCACCTCCCCAAAGGAGAATGGATGGCCCAGGGGTAATAAAATTGAACTAGAAAATGTCTGTAAGACATAAATGCCCCCGCTGCCATGTGAAATTAGTTTCAGTGTCCTATAAAATGTTACAACCACTTTGACCTTGATACCCTGAAACATGTACACACACAAGGTACTACACTTAAAGTTGATAAGTTTATTTAAATATTCATATGTTTTTCCGGAACCATAAGGATGTCAGAGGTATACCCATATTTGATCTTTATATAAAGTTTGATCAAAATCCGTGAAAGAATGAAGTTGCCAAGTGTTTAAATTGAATCAGTTGGTGATTTTCTATATATAGCAACAGTGACCCTGGCCTTGACCTTGGCACCCTGAAACACATTGAATCGGGACGGGACGGGATGGACATCGGGCAACACTATATGCCTCCCCTCCCCATTTTACGGAGGGTTGTATCTTTGTATAAAGTTTGACCAAAATGTGTCAAAGAATGAAGTTGTTAAGTGTTTACATTGAATCGTAACATGACTGGATAGATGTTTACCCCGAATCGGGACGGGACAGGACTGACATAGATTGTATGCATGGGGAATACTATACGCCACATATATCCGAAAGTGTTATTCTCCTATATAAACTATAGTTAATGTTACCCCCTCCAAAAAGGAGAACAGATAGCCAAGGGGTACTGAAATTTACAATTGAAACAAAGGCAGCCCCTGATGAGCATGCAGAGATTGACTATATAGTACCTCTGAATCTGGAGAAGGCGACTTTTGAAATATTGGTTAACTTTCCCTTTGGGGCCCTGTCCTGCCCCTTGGGTTGGGGCAGGAATCCCGATTTTACAATTTGATACCATCTTCCTCCAAGGATGATTCTCATTAAGTAAAACTAATTTCCTACTGAAAATGAACAAAATATACCCAAAAAATTTATTTACCTATATAAACGATAGTAAACTTTACCCCCTTCCCAAGGGAGAACAGATGGCCCGGGGGTACTGAAATTTACAATTTAAATAAAGCCTCTGATGAGCTTTCCATCCATACAGAGAAATAGTCCGAATTATTCTGAGGTTTTATCGACTTTTTCATATCGGTCTGTCGTCGATAAACGTCAGAACTCCGGCCCTCTATAATATGCAGGAAATAAGAGACCCGTGCCTGGAGCGCACTTCAAACTGATATTTTAGAAACAAATCGTCACTTTCACACACATGTCGCACATGGATCAAAAGATCTATTCTTTATGCACTAGGTGGTATCAATAACATATTTCAAAGATCATTACGAAAAGTATTTTCTAACGTTTTCTATACCAACCCATGTTTTTAATGGAAATTAGGCCATGAACAATGTCACATGACTTCACGAGATCTCGCGTTAACGAAGGTATTTCCCAACGTTATGACGTAGGCCGGCGAGGTTTTAGTCATGTGGCATTAGAAGGCGGGGCTATCAAAAAATTAGAGTAAAACAGAGTAAGTTTGAAAAAATATGTTTTTAGTGATAGTATTGGTTGTTTGAGGCATGTTATGTGTGTTCATCTTGTGCATAAAGAAGATCGTTCGATCCATGTGCGACATGTGTGTGAAAGTGACGATTTGCTTCTAAAATATCAGTTTGAAGTGCGCTCTGGGCGCGGGGCGCATATTTCCCGCATATTATAGAGGGCCGGAGTTCTGACATTAATCAATAAAAAAAGTCGATAAAACATCAGAATAATTCGGACTTTAGAGAAATTGACTGTAGTACCTCTGAGTCTAGAGAAAAAGATATTTGAAATATTGGTTTACTTGAGTTTTTTAAAGTAAAACCAATTTTCATGATGTAATACTTACCATAACTTTAGTATGCATTAACAATACATACACCCATCTTTGTAGCCCAAAAACAAAAGATTCAAATATCCCGACCTCCCTACCGTCACGTAATCCATATCTCAACGACAGAGCCACGGAGTGAACTCCCATCCTCAAAACCCTTTTATGGAGCCTAAAGACAGTCAGGATGAAGAGGCGAGGGGAAGAATACATGGTGGGACTCCATAAAGTTATGGTTAGTATTACATCATGAAAATTGGTTTTACTTCAAAAACCTCAATTTCATTTCAGTAGTAATTACCATAACTTTAGTATGCAAATTCGTCTTACTGTAGTGGAGGCTTAGAATCCAGGCAGACCAGGCTGACAGAGCGAACTCGAGACATGCTCAAGGTAGGGAAAGGTTCAAGGAACCCAAAAAAAACGCCCCTAAAGTATTTAAGAAATGGAATACCTCCCTGTGCAATGAGCAGGTGTACCACCGAGGTGCCTGATAGCATACTAGTTAAAAATCACTGAATTACTGTAAAGGCACAGCCACAGACTGTGCAACCACCACCGGTCCAATGGAATACAATCCATCGGAATGAGAAGCCAAGAACCGGAGATAAAAATCTGTGAAGGTAGTCTGTCCGCGCCAGAATGCAGCGGACATGACCTACTGGAAGGAGGATCCATTCAGAAGGGCCCATGACGCAGCAAGGGCCCTGACCTAATGAGCTCTCACCTTATATAACGTCCCAACCTGATCATATGAGTGGTCATAACCATACTTGATGACCTGACAGATCCATCCATCTAGACACTGACTGAGAGGATATATCCTGCTGACCTTGCTTAATGGGCAAAAACAGACGAGATCGAGGAACTCCCCCCCCACACCCCCCCCCGTCAATCCTCCTTCGTTCGACCCGAGGCCAGGGCAATAAGAAATACCGCCTTGCAGGTAACAAACTTAAAGGAGGCAGACACTAAAGGCTCATAAGGTGCCCGCATCAGCGATTTGAGCACCAGTGGCAAATTCCACTGTGGAGCCAACTGCCGGACCCTGGGCCTGTCCAACCCAAACCCCCTAATCAAGGCAGAAAGAGAGGAGGAAAAGCCTACCTCCGGCCTACCATGTACAGAAAACACACTGACAATCGCCGTACGATAGTCAGCGATAGTGCCAGGGGCAAGATTGCTGTCCCTAAACATCCAAAGAAGGAAGTCCGCAATCACCTGGAAAGTAGCCTTGACTGGATCAACCTCCCTGCCGACATATCAATCACAGTAAATCTTCCATCGTGACTGGTAGACGGCAGATGATGAGGACACAATTGATCGAGCGATGCGATCTGACCCTTGAAAAGCTAGCCTTAGCGAGGCCTACTGAGATACCTTCCACTCGTGAAGGTGGAGGATCTCCGGACGAGAGTGCATTGTCCTGGACCGAGGCTGGCGAAGGAGGTTCGCTCTGAGAGGGAGAGCCTGGGGCTCTTCCACCAGAAACGACAAAAGCTCCGGAAACCAAGGCTGCCTCGGCAGGGAATAATGATGCTCCCAAAACTTCTACAGCACCCTACCCACCAGGTTGAAGGGTGGGAATCAGCCCAATCCAGAGACAGGGCATCCACGGTCGAAGCCTTCCGATCTGGAACCGGATAGACAAAAGTTGACAACTGATTGTTCAGTGAAGTGGCAAACTGGTCTATGTGGGGCCTGTCCCACACCTGACAAATTCCCTCGAAATTGAGGGATTCAGTTGCCAATCTGTCAAAACCAGCCGGCGACGCCTGGAAAGAGTATCCGCCAGAACATTCAACCTGCCTGGAAGATGCTCCACACAAATTGTCAACTGCATGTCCTGGCAAAGAAAAAGAATGCGAATAGCAAGGGCATACAGGGTGTGAGACCTGGTTCCCCCCTGTCTCTCCAGATTTGCGACAACTGTACATGTACAGTTGTCCGTTGCCACCAAACCACCTTGGAATGCAGGATCTCCCGAAGAGACTACAGAGCCAACAGAACAGCCCTCATCTCGAACACATTGATGTGCTCTGAGAGCTGTTCCCCAGACCAATCCCCTGACCAGCAATGCCCGTCGAGGTAAGCTCCCCACCCCGTCATGGACACATCAGTGTACAGAGTCATAGTGGGAGCCGGCATGGAGAAAGGAACCCCCCGGAGAACATAGTCGTGATGAGTCCACTAGCATGCGAACTCCTTGGCCGACTGGTTCAGAGGAAGCCAGGCTTCCCAATCCCTTGACAAGTTGGCAAGGAGAAACATCTGGAGAGGCATGATGTGAAGACTCCCTAAGGGGACCATATCTGCCAGGGCATTGAGATAACCCAGAAAACTGAAACTGACGTACCTGGACTTGAGACCCGCCAATGAAGGTCAGGGCAAAAGCCCTGGCCTTCTTGAACTTCTCCATCGGTGGAAGGGCTAAGCCGGTAACTGCCGGGATGCTGCCGCAACCCAAAACCATCTGCAGGCTGGTAAGAGTGGCCAAGGGAGGGTTGCCCGCAGTATACCGAAAGCCAGGGGAAAACTGAGGCCGGAAACCGGCCCCCTGTCCAGCAAACCCAACACCTGCGGGGAACACCCCACCCCCACCCACCC